TTTGTTTTCTGCACAAGCTTTAGCTGGAAGAATGTGAAGAGCCTTATAAAATCCTGAAGGCTCATAGAGTAGCTTTTCATTTAATAAATGTTTGTTGGGCACCTTTTTGTTGTCCCAGGCAGTGTTCTGGGTACTGAGGGAACAAAGGTGAACAAAACAGACCAGGCCCCTCAGTCTTCTGGGAGGTGGTGGGGGGAAAGAAAAAGACAGATGACAAGTTGATTAATTATCCAGTGTTAAAGCCTTTTCAGACAGTGATGAGTGCTAAGAATATGGCATGATGAGTAGAAAGTGACAGAGGGACACAGTAGAGAGGTGACCAGGGAAAGCTTCTCAGAGGAGGTGGCATTTGGAGGATGAAGGATCATGTAAGCATGCACATGGAGGAGGCTCAGAGTAACATGAGAATAGATCTATATTAAGGTCCTATGCTGGAAGCAATAAATAAAAATCCACATCATGCCCAAGGAGTGTGTGAATTGGACGAAGTTTCTCTTATGCAAAATTCAACCCATTTTGGGTTCTGTGACTCATGGTTCTTCCTGCACCACTTCACTTCACTGATCATATTCTTTTTCTGAGGCCAGCCAGCTAAACCTGGCTAAGGAAGGATTGCTTCCCTTGCTGCAGCCTTGCTGGCTTTCTTCTCTGTGTGGTTGTGCTCAGTAGTTTTAAAGTTAGAACATCCAAAAGATCCACTGGTGCCTGGGCTTAGAAACATGTCCTGTAGTCCTGTGAGAGAGATGAGACTACAGAGGTCTCCCCAGCCCTTGGCATAGCACATTCGGAACCTTTGGGATGAAAAGGAGAACTTCCGCTTGTCCTCTGGTTATTCTTTGAATAACTTAGCAAAACCAGAAACAATTTGATCCACTCAGCTCCAAACATGTTTAAATTTAAACTTTTGTCTTTATTTTTTAAGAAAATACATTGAATTTGTCCCAAGCTCAAAAGAACCAAGAAAGTATACAATGAAAGTCACACATTCTTGACTTTGGGATAATCAGTGGTAGCAGATTCATGGGTGTTTTTCAGAGAGTCTACAAGCAAAAGGGAGGAAATATTCTCTTTTATTAAACATACACTAAACATGTATTTGTTACATATTTATATATATAAACTATATGTGCACAATATAATGTGAAATATAATGACATATAAAGAGCTAATTCTTTTTATGGCTAAATAGTATTCTATTGCTTATATTATAATTTGGACATTTAGGTTGTTTCAATTTTTTGCTTATAACACAAGATGCTGCAGTAATTACATGTCACTTCACGTATATAGGAGCTTCAGGGCCAGGACATGTGCCTTATCACTTTGATAGGTAATGCCTGATTGCCTTCACAGGGGTCTGCCTACACCATGGAATGCAACAGGGCTGTATATAGCCAGCATCTGTAGGTAGCAGGACCTGCTGCCATTCAGGCCATGCTAAGTAATTTGCTCTGGAAATTGACTAGTAAACCCTGGCACACAGGGTTTACCTACACACCTTGGTGACTTTTTTAAAAGTGCAAGAGAGAAAGGCTTTCCTGCCCTAATTCAGAGTTTTAGAATGCTCATGCCTCATCTCCAAGATTTCAAGTAAGTGAATCAATGTTGCATCAAACTAGAAATTTCCAACCACCCCTTCTGCATCAGCCATACCACAAGAGTAAATAACATGAGCCCCCAATAATAACTACAGTGCAGCTTTTAATTTACTGAAAATGGATGGCTAGTGGTATTTTCTACATTATGTCTTGGTTTCATCCCAACATATTTCATTATGCATCTCTAAAAATGGTCATTTGCTCAAGTAACTGTAATCCTAATGCCATTGTCACAATTAACAGAATTACTAGTAATTCCTTAGGATTATCTATTATCTAGTTTATATAACTACATTTCTGATTGACTCAAAAACATACTTAAAATTATTTTGTACAAATTGGTGTCTAAACTACATTTGGTTGTTCCATTTCTGTTAACTATAGCAGTTTCCTCCCTTACTTTATTCCCTGCCATTTATTTACTGAAAAATAGGTGCTTTGTCCTACAGAATATTTTGCATTGTGGATTTGGCTTTTTGCTTCCATATGGTGTCATTCAGCTTGTTCCTCAACTCCTGCATCTTAATGCTAAGGGATAGATTAAGTAAATTACTAGCTAAAGACTTGGTTAGATTCAGTTCAACTTTAATACCAAGAATATGGCATAGATGGTAACACCAAGTGATGCTTTTAACGTGATGAATTCCTGAAAAGGAGCAAGGCAACAGCTTTTCTTCTCTGGTGCCACACTTGGGAATATTTCCGGCAATGTTTTTAAAAACCGGCTTCCTGTTTTTCTTCTTCTCAACAACCACATTCCAAAATGGGTGCACCTTGAGACCATAATGATAAGTGAAATAAATCAGACACAGGAGTTTAAATATCACAAACTCAAAGTATAAATACAGAGCAAAATAAAAGGTGGATGATAGGAAACAGGGAGGTGGACTTTTGCAGATGGCAGAGGGATCTGGAGATGGGGGCGCGGAAAGGGGAGTAAAAAAGACCCAAGATGCAATATGTATAGGTACCAACTCCCCATGGTGAATATATTCATTATGCATTGCAAACATGCATTAATAAAAACATTTAGGAATAAGTTTTAAAAAACAACTGCTTTCCAAAAGCAGATCAGCAGTTTGAATCCAAGATGAGTAATAGAGCTTATGAATTAGAGATGCAAGTCCTGGCAAGCCCACTGCAGTGCCTGCCTCTGGGCTCCCTGCACTCACAGTTTTCTGAAAGATAGCACTGTCCAGAAGAACCTTCTGTGCTTATAGAATTGTTCTGTATCTGCACCCTGCAATGTGGTAGCCACTAGCCATGGGGGCCTAGTGAGCTTTGATAGCTGGCTGGTGTGAATTTTTTTTTGCTTAAATTCTTTTATTGGTACATTTTAGGTATACAATTCGTTTACATTTATCATTGGGTGCTTGTACCTGTACATGATGTATCTTGGTTCTTATTTTTTCCCCATTACCTGTGGTGCGAATTTTTAACAGAAGCAGCCATACATGGTTAGTGGCCACTGTATTGGATAGTGCAGCTATAAAGTCATTTTAAAATGAGCCAAAGACCTTTCTCTGCTCCTTTGGGAACTAGCTGCTTCTGTTTAAAAGAAGGATTTTTACAAAAGTCATATTTAATCTATTTGGTTAGAGGCATTGAGTTTTGCAGAGCTGCTACTGAATTTGGTGAGCAGTCATGGGATTAGTTGCACTGAATCTACCTGGGCTTGACTCGGGTGAGTGATGGAACAAAGTCACTGATCCCAGGGCAAAGCCAGACTCAGGACCAGGTGCCAGCAGAGGGTGAGTGCAGGGAGATAAACACTGTAGCCTTGTGCCAGTGATAAAACAGCAAATACCCACTTGCCATCAGGATATGGAGGCGTGGGCATATTATCCATTAGTAGATGCATGATAGTGTAGCTGGTCAGGAAAGAGTCCCAGGTGCCAATGTTTCTCTTTTCAAGCCGTGTGTCCACAGGGGAAGAAACGTGAGCACGATAATATATCTGGGTGTGTTCAAACTGACAAAATCTTGACACCTTCACTATTCAAAGTCTTGTATTAGCTGAAGGAATGAGTACAGAGATAATTAAGGCATGGTCCCTACTCCAAAGGAGCTTGCAGTCTACTCATGGGTTGTTACCTGTTGAGTGCTATGCAGTAAACATTTCCATAACTCTTAAGTGATTCTTACAGAATCTATTGATAAGGAAGGCATTATTAGCCCCATTTTAGAGATGAAGAAATCCAGGCCCAGGGGGAGTTAAGTAAATTACTATTTCAAGGTAGCATAGCTATCTAAAAGTGCAAACTCAAACCCATGCCACCGTTATATGTCCCCAGGGTTATGGTAATCATCTTGCAGCTGGTCTTCAGACCTGGATTTAGACCCCGCCTTCTCACCAGGTCACTCCCCTGTTTAATGCCCTACATCTGTCTCTCTTCCTACCTCACTGCCCTCACCTCTCCACCTCCTTCCTTCTGAGCCTCCCTGGCCTCGTCCCATTTTAGGGCTTTGGCACTGGCAGGTCCTCTTTCAAGAACACGTTGCATCCAGGTATGTAAATGGCTCGCTATTTTTACCTGCTGCAAGTTTCTAAATATTTGTCACCTTCTCAATACGGCCAACACTGAGCATGTGTTCTCCATCTCCTCCCCCTTTATTTTGACCTGTATCACTTATCACCTAATGTATTTTATAATTCACTCTTTTGTTAAGTGGCGGCCACTACTCCCCTGCATAAACATATGAGCAACACAAATGCTCACAAATGTAAGTTCTGTGAGGCCAGGATCCCTCCCTCTGTCCTGTTTCATTCACTGCCGTTTCCCAAACACCCAGAACAGCGCCCGCTGCTAGCCAGTGCTTGTCCAGTAGATGGTGTTGACTCAAGATGAGTGATACTCAAGTGTCCAACTTGAAAGCCACTGGACACGTGAGTCATCATATCTGCTCATATTTTATATGTGAATACACACCTACTTGTCCGTACCTGTTAAGTCGTCTGGGCTACTTTAAGATGCATGACTATGTCAACTCATATAGGAAACCCAGAGTAACTCATGCAGATATATGTTGAGAGCTACTGCCTCAAGGTCACTCTCAGCACAGTACTAATGAAGGTGTCACTTGTGGCTTCTGAGAGGGCCAATTGTGGTCAGACATTGTGGACAACAACCTTCCACCTAGGAGAAGACTGACCCAGCATTGAAGAATGGCTTTTTGCTGGTGTTTGGTGACTTTTTCCCCTGCAAAAGCAGATGTACTGTGCATTTTATTCCCAGTCTTGTGGACCAAGATATGAGAGGGTGATTACGGAATATAGTGCCTTACCCAGGGCACTAGGGATGTGTAGTAAATAAGCAGGATGTGATTAAGCGACACGTTTTGCCACCATGCTGTTCAAAATACTTAATAAAAATTGTATTTCTCTTTCTGAAAAAAATATAGGTTATTCTTGGTGAGAATTTGACTTCAAATTGTCCAGAGGTTATCTATGAAATTAAAGAAGAAACACCTGTTTTCTACAAACTTGTTCCTGACCCTAGGAAGAAGAGCTACATCTATCTCACAGCTGGGAAAGAGGTGGGTAGAAATACTAGTTATTGCTTCTGACTTATGAATAAAAATTATTTAATTGATATCATTATCTAGTGGCAAAGCTTTTACTTTGAACTACCAAGTTTGAACTCTGCTGCAGGCTTTGGGAAGACCCACAGTGGTTCATGGGCATGGAATTAAAATCCTTACTGACTGTCAGTAAGCAAGAGATATTACCTATTTAGACAATTTTATTATTGGCTGTATTTCCAGTGCCAAGTTTTTCAGAGGAGGGTGTGCTTGCAGATGGGCGCATAATCAGCAAGGTAACTGAATTTACACATTTATTGTGTGGGCACTGAATGGCTAGATGCACTTATGAATATACCCAATGGGACTGGCTTTGGAATTAGGGGTTATTATCGGGCCACTTCTCATACACATTCATGAACCAAGAAATATATGGCACTCAGCCTCCTTCTCTTAATTTATCTGGCTGTTTTAATGTGGTTGTTTGTTTGTTTGCTCTCTTTTGTGTACTGAAATAACAGTAATACCTTTTAAATTTTCTTCATCTTTACAAAGTGCTTTCACCTAGGGAAGGGGAAAGGACTCTAATTTTTATTGAGTCCCTACCGACTGCATGTTACTCATTCTTTGTGTTGTCTCTCTAGATGCATAGTGTTGTGTGTACACACACAAATCAAACCAAAGAAAGCTCACGAAATGTGTTAATAATTTAATGAGACAAAGTTATCCTTGTTTTATATTTGAAGAATCTAAGACGTGGAGAGAGGATAAATAATTAGCTCAAGGTTATACATATAATGTATGCATTAGTTTTCGTGAGAGCTAGGGCCCAGGTGTTGTCCTGATCCTAAAGCCTAAATGAGGTCAAGTCCCAGATTTGTGAAAACTAAAGAATACATTCTGGCTTGGTGCCTTTGACTTATGACCATTTGGTTACATAAAAGTGCAAAGAAGATAATTGAGACTTAGAGAAATCATGTAATGGATATATATAGCAGATGCTCCTAGGCCATCCTATTTTTCACTTTTTCCTTTCCACCATTCTAAGAACAGCGATGACAACAAACGATGGACATGTGCTCTTGGAGCCACAGAGCAGGTGTGTCAGCATGTGGTGGTTTTCGGTGTTCTGAAAAATGCTGTATTGCCCTTTGCATGTTGAAAAGTCAATTAGGTCAAAGGGACCACATTGAGATGACCACACGTGTACCTCCCACAGTTTTGTAAATCAGTTCTTCACCAAGCAGTGCTTGTTTCCCCATTCAATCATTTTTTATTATGTTTCTTCCCAAGGGATCTCATTTTTGAAAGATTTTGTCTATTCAACAAACTGTGTATATTAAGTAACCATTCCTACTCCCAGGCTTTATTTATCCAGGACATCTCAAAACTGCAGCCAGAGTACTGATTGTGCAACCACGCAAAGCTGATAAAATTCCAACCCTCAAAGCAAAGACACTGAAAGTTTGGCTTAATCTGATTGTGTTTTTCCGTTTAGCTGTTTGAAATATTGCAAAATAGCTCATAAATACCCATTACTACCCTCATGCATAGTAATAGAACCCAAGATTCCAGGACTCTAGGCTACAAACCACTGTGAATGCCACCAGTGACTGACAGGTCTTCAGTTTCTGGAAGGTAAAGAATTCTAGCCTGTAGTCATTCAAAGCCTGAAGTCTTGGGTAGAGTTTTGAATGGGGCATCAAAATTGTTCTTCCCCATGTGCATTATTTGGGATTACTGCTGGAAGCCTATTAGTTGACTCTTGTTGAACAAATATAACCCCTAGAGAGGCAAAACCTAAGGAGGGTCCCTTTTGTACCCTCTTGGGAAATAGCAACAGCCAAACTAAAAAGCCATAGGAAATCCATGAAATAGTATAACGTGTGCCCATTAAACATAATCATATGGAGGTATATGCATCCATGTGGAATAGTCACTATGGTGTGTTACCAAACTAGAGAGCTGGCCCAATGTAATATTTATGTCTTCTTTTTTACATAAAGCTGTATTTGTGTGTTTCAGTGCATCGAGTAGCTGCTTTCAAAGAGTGTTCTGGGGACTCATAGTCTACTAAATGTTGTGAGCAAAGTGATCCTAGGATCAGTTGTTACTGACTGTACCCCTCTGAGGGGTTTGACATATTCAGAAGCTCTTCCAAGCTCATGCTAAGAAAACCTATTTAACTTTTTCAGTCTAAGATTTCACACTCATTAGACCCAGAACCCTTTCCTCACATAAAAGCAATAGCCAATATTTATGACACACATTATTTAGTGTGTGTCAGACGATGTTGGTAATAACCTCATGCAGTCATTTGTACCATCGCCATTTTACAGACGAGGAAACAAGGCTAGAGAGATTACATGATGCTTATTAAAATCCCTCAGAATTAGAAAGATGTTTGTGAACTACAAGGGAATAAATATCCACATCCTGGTTAATTCTGGCTCAGACTCCTGGTCTGCCGGCTGCGCCTGTCAGAGGCATTGAGGGCTGAGAAATGGAAGGGCACAGTTATCCTCCACGAAGCCAACCTGGAAGGGAAGGATCCTCCTCAGGATGTTCCATTTTCCTCACAAACCCTTGTAGAACTCTCCATTTCCCTCACCTTCTTAAGGAGTCTCTTATACCCTCGAGCAGGTACAGCCTCCTGGCATAATGGGTTCCATGACTTTCCTCACTACTCGCTGTGTGATTTTCCTTCTGAAAAGGTGACAAGCAAAACTCAGGTCCTCCTTTGCCAGCTTGGCCACACTGTAGGCTGCTGCTTCTTTACCACTGGAGGGGCGAAGGAGGGATAAGGAGGTGACTTAAATACTTTCCCTGTTTCTTCTACTTTCACCTCCAGTGGGAGCAAGCAAGGCAGGAGCTGGGGTGGTGGTTCTTCCCCGATGGCTGAGGGGGCTGATCCTGGCCTTATTTCTACACCCACTGCCAGCACCTGTTGACCCCCATCCTGGGCAGGGCCATTTGTTATCCCCAAATGCTCACTTCCAAAGTGCCACTGACTGTCACTGTGTGAAAACCGAGTGACCTGCTTCCATGATCCCTGTGGAGTACATCATTCACAGACTAGAAACCCAACCGCAGGCCAGGCTCACTGAAGAGAGCTCTTAACAATGCAGATTCCTGGGCCTCGCCCCACACTTGGGTGCAACTCAGTGGCAGGGGAGTCTGGGAATACAGTCATCCCTCAGGAACCCTGTGGATTGCAACCAGGAAGCCCCAGGATATCCAAATCCATGGATGCTGAAGCCCCTAAGTTTGCGTATAAACTGTGCACATCTTCCTGTATACTTTAAATCTTTAGATTACAGATAATGCCTAACACAATCTCCATGCTATGTAAATTGTAGTCACACCATATTGTTTGGGGAATAATGACAAGGAAAAAATGTACTGAATAGGCACCGATTCGACTTTATTCAAATACTTTTGATCTGCTTGACTTGGTGGGTGAAGAACCTGCAAAGAGGAAGGGCCAGCTCTCAAAAGCTCACCAGGCGATTGTCACACAACTGCTTCCTATCCTAGAACTTGATACCTGCCGCCTGATGCCATTGTGGAGACATTTAGAGTTCACATTGATAAATATAGTCCCTGTGGCCCTTCATCAGATAAGGTGGCATCATTTTCTCTGGTGTTGCTTATAATTCCATCTGAACCACTGTCGTCTTTATTTTTAGGTGAGGAGAATTCGTGTTGCGAACTGCAGTAAACATAAATCCTGTTCAGAGTGCCTAACAGCGGCAGACCCCCACTGTGGTTGGTGCCACTTGCTACAAAGGTATTTCCTGAATTCTTTCTCACCAACTCATATTTTTGAGAAAGTGTCATGCAGCAGAACACTTGTTGCCCTACTTTAAAGATCCATTCTGGTGAACTGGGAAAGAGGGTGGAGGGGAGGACTGCAGTGTTGTGCTGTAACCCTAGTTCATTCCCGAAGGTGTTTCCAGCTGGGTCAGCATTGCTGACTTATTTGACCTGGGCCACGCAGGTCACCCCATCTGGGGGCCCGATGGGAGCGGGTGTGGGACATCAAACGGGAGAGGCCAGAGCAGGCAGATTGGCTTTTACTTTCTACAGAGTTTCCCAAGACTCGAGAGAAAGGCAAAAGGTTCTCCCTCGGAGCAGATAAAAGAATAGGGAATGTTTGAAAATTTTCAAATGATTCCTCATCATGTCGTGTATTCTGTTCGCTCGCTGGAAGCCTTATTATTGATGGCGCTATATGCTCATGTGCCGTACAGCCATGGGCCTGATGTACAGTCTCGGTCTCCGGGTGGAATCTGCCCAGCCTGGTCTTGAATTATGGTGTACACGACCCATCTAGGCTCAGGGGTGACTTGGAGCGGCTTCCTCCCCATGGCAGCTCTTAGCGTAGCTGGGACCAGCCTGCTTGGATTTGCTGTTGCCATGGCAACCCAGTACTCGGGTTCTTGCTATAGAAGCAAGGAGGAGAGAGCCTTAGTTGCAGCTCAGGCAGGAAAGGGAGGGAAAAAAAACCCCACATAACAGTGTCTGTCAGTTTGGTGCTTTCAGTTTTTAAGGGCGAAGAAGGATATGAAACAGGGGAGCAGGTAGAGAGATGCTAAAGGCTGAATGGGGGGGGTAGTGGGACAAAGAAAATAGGACCAGGAAGAGAGCTGGGCAGCTTATATAGGAGGAAGCCAGGAGAAATGAAGGGAGAGAGGGGCATATAATAGAAGCGAAAGGTTCAGGAAACAAACTAGAAATAGGGGGATGAAATTAATTAGGAGTCCATGGAGGAAGTCACAATCCAAGCTTCCGCAAGGCAATGGTGGTCTTTGCTTTTTGCTGCACCTCCTTACCAGGCTGTTTCTGTCAGAGTCACTGGCAGACAAAAGAAGCAAGCCCGGGAAAATTCTCATAAATAATTGTAATTGGGTAGGAATCTTTTCTTCTTGTCGCTTGCCCAAGACTAGAGTTTTAGAAATTGACTGATCGTGGCCAGTGTCTTATCACTGCACACCCACTCAGCAGTCTTGCCATAATCTTGTAGATGTGTGCAGCTTCTCTGTCTGTATCTGTCCAGCTGCATGCAGGAGTTGATTCAGTGATGGTGGTTATGATGGGCGTGATTAAATGGCTACATACAGCTAGTGGCTGGCTGCTTAATCTCAGGTCTGTATGGGGATGGGAGACATCCAATCTGATGATGACGGTTTCAGAGTTAGTTGTATTTAGATGGCACTTACACAGCCTTGGGGTCAGCCCAGGGAGGGAATATAGATTGGGAAGTTTGAAAGCTGAGCATTGAGGAACTGCAATGTTTAGGGATCAGGGAGAAGGAAGGGCAGCAGAAAAAGACATAAGGAGGGATCAGCCTAAGGGGAAGCGGGAAAAACTGAGGGCATGGGTCTCCTGCAAGCCAAGGGAAACGAGGAGGGGGCGACCCATTGTGCCAGCTACTTCGGAGAGGTCAAAAGGACAACTGATCCATTGGACTCAGCAGGTGACGATTGGTGACTGGGACAGAGGTCAGTGCTAAAGCTGCAGAAGACAATGGGAAGTGAGGGAGACAGTGAGCAAGGAGAAAAGCAGTGAGCAAGTGAGAAAAGCAGCAGAAAGAAATGGAGCAGGTGCCGAAGGAGAAAGTGGAGTTCAAAGAGTTTGAGTTTTAGAAGATGCACAAAATAATCATGTATTTTAGTGCTGTTGGCAGAATTCCAGTAGAGAGGGATCAGATGATGTTGCAGGAGAGAGTGTGGCCTGTTATCTTTCACCAGATGACCTAATGGGCCAGCCACAAATAGGAGGCTGGACGGCTCAGCCTCCTGATAGGGGAGGGGGGAAATCTGCGCCTGGTGCAGGTTAGGTGAGAAAGTGACTGCAGTGTCTTTTCTTATTGTTTCCATCACCTTCACCGACTTCAGATCAGTGAGAGCTGGGAGGAGGCACTGGAGAGAAGAGAGGGCAAGAGAGAAATAGGAGGTGGGGCAGAGAATCGAGTAGGAAAATATAGCATGGTTGCCAGGCAACTTTAGGGCCCATTTGAGGTTGGTGGACTTGCCTTTAGAGTAGAGCAAGTAGCGTGGTTTTGCTTTTTTCAAGCCGCTTCAGCTCTGGTGGCACAGTCATAGAGCAGTGGAGAGTTCAGGGAAGCCAGAGTTGGGGTGAGTGCATCAGGAGAGGCTGGGAACCTGAGGGTGCATGGAAGGGGTGGATGATAGTGTTGATGTGGGTGTTGATAAGTGTAATTGAGGACACCTGGGCATTAAAAGGGAAGCAAGCGGGGGAGGGGGTGTGAAAAGGTGGTAGGATCACAGGCTGCGGTTGGAGAACTGGAAAGGGTTGGGTGACAGTTGAAGTCGGGGAGCAGTGGGCTATTAGGGATGATAAAATCTAGAGGATGACTGTGTCTCTGAAGCAGGGAGGGAGACAAGATCATTGGGAGAGAAGGGTCAAGGAACTGAGGTAGTGGCCAGAATAGTCAAGGAATCAGTCATCTGTGTAGAAACTGTGATCACCCAGAATGAGTGCTGGAAAGAGTGAAGGGCTAATAGTCAAAAAAATGAAGGGAAGTGGCTGGAGGCAGTCTTGGTCTGTAGGAGCTCGCACGAGCTTCAAAACTGGCATGTGGTTGGAAAGAGAAGATCCACCAGGAGAGGCAGTGATACCACAGTGGGACAGCTATGCCGAGGGAGAAAGCAGCCAGCTCTTCAGAAGGGCTGGGGAAGCCATGTCCTCGGGGCAGAGCTGCTTCTCCTAAGATCCAGGTGAAATTAGCAATCAGAGGAGAATCTGAGGAATCTGGCTGTTCCTGGTGACCAGCTGAGAATTCCAGCCTCTGTGAAATCCTGCTTCTGGTTCCCCCCAGTCTCCTTTTGCTCACTCACCCCTGCCCCGTCCTCTCCAGGAAGAGCAATAGTTTGAAAACCGAAACAGTTCATGTCCCTCCACAGCTTCATGGCTGCTGCTGGCTTCCCATCTTAGCGCTCAGCCCAACCCCACGGCAGGATGTGATGCTTTCCTGTGACCTCATCCTTCCCTACGCTCAACTCTCCTGCCACTGTCTCCTTTGGTCACTTTGTCTTAGCTACCCTGACTTTCTTTCTAACTTGAGAATATGCCAAATGTGTCCTGCCCCAAGGTTTTTGCCCCTATATTTCCTCATTCCGGAATATGCTTCCCTTAGATTTCCTCACAGCTGGCACTTCCTTGTCCATCTGGTTCCAGAACACACATTTATCTCCACCTGGCCAACCAGTCTCAATGAACCTCAATACATTACTGTTTTCTTTTCTTCATGGCCCATCACTCTGACCTTATTTTTCGACCTCTCCCTTTATTGAAATGTATTTCTCTACCTCTCCTTTTATTTTCAAACATAAGGTGCTCCAAAGACATGTTAAATGAGTGAGGTAGACTGAGTGATGGGAGACTGGTGCCTTAAGATGAGAAAGCACTTTGGAGCCATGGAGTGATGGCCATGTCACCGCTCATCACCTGTTTGGTCATGTCAGATTATGTGATTTCAGACTGGCTCGATTCTGGCATAAGATGAAATGCAACTTAGCCTAGGAGCTGTGACTCATGTTAAGCTCCCAGTACCATTCAAAATTAGGAATTCTAAAGGGGGATGTTTTCTTACCACTCTAGAGCATCCCACTGTGTTTATTTTAAATGTCACAGATTTATTTAGAAAAAATAATTTATTTTCTCTGTTGAGAAGGTTGAACTTTCTTGTGTACGTGTCTAGAAAGTGGATTGGCGGGGGGACAAGAAAACCATCTTAACTTCCTTTTGATCGGGTGTTAAGAATAGACACCCAGTATAAGCAGATAAAAAGCAAGTAGATAAACAATGAGCTCAAAAAAGTCTAGTATTTTATTGTTGGAACCTCAAATCCAACCTGTGCTGAATTTGTGTGTGTGGGTGGAAAGTGAATTTTTGCAGGCTGAATATCTTGGGTTTGGAAGCAATTTCTCAGTTTCTCCCATATTGCAAAGCATAGCACATGTGTTCAGTTATGGATTTCCACAAAACTGGCAATCCCAAACCAATGAACGGGTAAGGTTCCAAAAGTTCATTTGCAAGTTTGTTTGGCACGAGGAGTGCATTTTCCCATAGAAACAATGTCATAAATTAAGGATTGATTCCCAAGCCAGCCCGCAAAATTCAATTTACTTAATTTCAACAAATATTTGTTGAATACCTTCCAAGAGCCCCATGTGGGAATTGAGATAGCTTAGGTGCTGTTGAGAGAAATCAGATGCCATTCTTGGCTTTAAGGCATTCACATGCTAACTAGGGAAGTGGGCCTGTCCATGGCCAACATTCATTCATTCAATCATACATCCATTCACAGCTGTTTATCACCTATGATGCCCTAAGCCCCGTGCTCAGGGCTTGAGATACAGTTCTTTCTTGTTGACATGGAGTTTGCCATCTAGGGAAGGATACAGATATAAGTGAACCAGTCAAATTTTTGCTTCAATAATACTGCAAAATAAACAAGCCCCACATTCTTATTTGCTCTACTTGCTCATGGGTCCATCTTTCAGCGGTGGGGTTCTGTGTCAAGCTGAATTCAGGTCTCTTCTACATGCTTTCATTCCGTACGGACTCTTTCTTGTTAAGGCAGCTACTGAAAGTACAAGACACCAAGCGATGCTATGCAACACACTCAAAGCCTCTGCTCGCAGCATATTCGCTGATACTCCATAGCTAAAGCAAGCCACATAGCCAAGCCCAGTGTCAGTGGGGTAGGGAAATACACTAGGCCTACTCTAGGAGGAGCATTGTAAAATGATACGACAAAGG